ACCGCTGCTGTTCATCTGCTCTTCAATTTGACGGCTCGTCACCGTATAAGTGGTCCGACTGTCCGTCGATTCCGCGTCCGAACGATCGCTAACCAAATGGACACCAATTAGTGATCAATTCATCTCTCAATATATGACATACACTTCATCGGCGGACACAATGGCCGGTATTACGGGGTAATGGTCTGCGTTCGCGGGCCGGACCTCGAGGTGGTCTCGATTTATGAGAATATGGCCGACAGGTGTGCGGCCGTCGCGTAAGAGCCCGTTGTCGAGCCATAGATCCACTTCGTTGTGACCATCGATGGCGAGAGTGGACATCAGGTGTCGTTTGAGGTCATCGATGGTGAGGACAGCGGCCGGAACTGTCAGCCAATAGTCGGCCACTCGTGGCTGCGATGTCTTGACGGACACCAATAAACTAATGGGGTTTCGTTTGGGTGATGGCATGTCTTCGGCCACAACTGATCCGCACATGAAATGCAAACTAAATCTCAATTATGACTGAATTCATACAATAGCTCTAACCCGTTATTAGCGGTGCACTCACATACAAAGTTACGCATATATGCATTTATGAATATATCGGGAGCAGATATCTGGAGTGTAGCTTAGTTTCCGGATAATATCGTTTTACGGGGTTTTAGTAAGGGGGGAATTAAAAGTATACTCGAAATCCAATATAATAAACACCCAATAGTATCCCCATTTTAATACTATCCCCATATTTTTAAATCATAAGTCATTTGCTATTCACATAATGTTAAAATAGTTCCATTATTATCCCCAATTGTGTGACCACTATAATCCCCAACCTGTTATAATCCCTCAATATATAAAACTCTCTCACATTGAAAGCCATACAAAATATGGTCCAATACTGTCCCCACTTTTCAACGACTTTAAGCATTACATTAAAAAATTAAAAATATATTTAAAAAAATCATTTCAAAAGTAATAATTGAACAAAATGTTGTCTAAAACTTGGAATAAACTGTTTATGAGACATAAATACTATATTATAAGCAAAGTCTGAAATTGTTAATACCTGGAGTAAATACAAGTCCATTATAATCAACTTTCCATTATTATCCCCACTTTTCGAAAATTTCATGTATATATTATATTAGATTTTAAGTATATATCTAAAAGAATTAGTTAAATAAATGGGAATAGTTTTTATTTTAAAAAATAATATAGTATAATGTAATTTTTATCTACGGATTTATTTATTAAATTAAACTTTAGCACTAACATTCAAACAATAAATTCATGTTGATAAAATTAAGACATTTTTAGATAATTGTTTGCAAAACACTTATAAAGGATAAAGTTTAATGTTAATGAGTGGTGGGCCAAAAATTTTATATTAAAAAATTTTATTATTTTTAAATTTGCCAAATTAATTATCATTGTAAGCATAATTGAAATTGATATAAATGATGTTCGGTGATTACTTTATTCACTATAAAAAACGTAAATAACTGATACTAAATTTCTTCTGAATTTCAAACCACAAAAATACACGCCTTTAAGAACTGCATAAATGGTTCACAAATAACGTTACGTTTTCATCATTTTGTAATTTAAGTCATTAAAAGTTTTATTTGTAATTTAATTAAATCATAAAGTGTTCAGAAATTATGTTAATATTTAACCGATGATTAGTTTATATCAATTAATGCTGTTTTGTCTAACAATTAGTGCTTTTTTGGTTATATTTTGAGGTCAATAACGGGTATAACTCGTATGCTATCGGGTGTCCATCGGTTACCGAAACGAGTTATAAGAGTTGACATAATGTATACCAATCACAGGATATGTTTGAAAATTAATAGTTTTAATATTATTAACAAATCATTATTAAAAATAGTTATAAATGATGTGAGAGTGCGAACACACCCGACTCGGTGTGAGGGGTCGGTAGGGTTTATACGATTGCCAACAAATGTATTTACAACTAATCAGTGACTAATAATCACATAGAATTTAACTATTAAATTACTATTTAAACCAATAAATACATATTTCACGCAACCAAACAATGGCAAACATTTCATTCAAATTCATTCACTTTTATTGTAATTTATATCAATTTTTAGTGATATTTTTTGCATCAAAATTCTTTACCAATCAATTGTCAATTCTTTGGCCGCAAAACAATGGGATCAACAAATAGCAAAAAGTACAAAGAGATTGACTTCTCGATGGCCATGACTGAGTACAAGAGTCACATACATGCGGCTCATGTACTCTTCTGGAGCCGCGACCCGAGGACTGGCCTCACCTTTGCGTTGATGCAAATGCGAGCCGACGGCAGGTTTGGTTTCCCGGGCGGCAAATCCGATGAACCGGTGGTCGACAGACAGGAAGTGATAACCGCTTTGTATCGCGAGATTCGCGAAGAAATGGATTACGCGGTACCCGAAGGACAGATCACTCTCGACGACCGACTCTTCACTCACATCGCCTCAAACAACGGCAAAGTTTTGCACTTCTTTGGCAAAGAGCTGCCGATCGACGTGTTTGAAGGCTTGGAATTGAAATACACAAAAGCCAAGTCCTTTCCCTGCGAGACAGTGGGCCTGATTCGTGTGCCGCTCAGCCACTCGTCCCCCAAAGGCCAGAACCCGGTCTGCCTTCCGGTCCGCAAGTTCTTCGCCAATTTTGGACGACAAGTATTTGCCGGAAACGCCAGAAATCAATTCATTGATAGTATTAGCCGTTTGAAACTCATGAGCAAAGAGGACATGGATTTTGCAATCGATTTTAAGGAACCATTTGAATGATGATTTTGATGGACAGTAGTTTTATTAGTGGTTTTGTTTGTCATTTACACATTTATTTTGAAAAATAAAATGTTTGTCTTAATTATGGTTTTAACTAATATTTACAATTATTACAAACTTATGTAAAAATAGCTTAAATCGTATGCTTTTTGATTGTACCGTATATAAATTATATTAAGATAAATCTTTAAACATAAATAAATAGTAATTTTCAAGTGTTATCACGAATTCAACGTTCAAAATGTTGCTGACTTTATAAATAGCAAAATACTGATAACAGATATATAAAATTATTTTTGCAAAGTTTTATAAATAATTTATTTGTTAGTTTAATGAACGACAAAAAGTAAATCACAAAATATTTCGTGAATTAATTAACAAATTATAATTTATTTTAGCAAAAGATGTGCTCATCTCTTGTTAAATGCTTGTTATATACATCATTGTATCTGTCAATTACAGTAAATGATATTCAATGTACGTATAAATAAATGAATTAATAAAATATTGTGAAATTATATTTATATAAAATCGTATATACTTTCAAGGCTTTGACAACATATCGATAAAGATTACTAAAAGGATAGACGACTCAAATGTTCATAGCGTTAGGCTATTAATGATGAAAAAGCCCGAAACCAATGTCACAATTCTGGATGCATTAAACGCCACGTCTCGCAAACACCCGGAATATTCTTTCACTGGAAAACACTTCAATAGTTTAGGCTTTTATATACAATCCATCGGACAGTTATATGAGAACCGGAATCTAAGCAAATACTGGTTTGTCTATGAATCAGATGGAAAGGGCGAACACAGACCCACAAATGGTTAGATACATTTGTTAAATTATTTTTAACATTTATTAATTGCTATATTTAAATATACAGGGGTTTCGTCACTCATTACAAATAATACAAATTATGTGTTTCATTATAAGGCTTATGATATAAATGTTAAACAGGAGAAAACTAATTGGTATTTATTAACACGAAGTTATGCAAAAAATGTGTTGAATTGGATCAAGAAAAATACCATGTTTTGGCGCAATTGAATATGTGTTGCTTTAGTACTGATATCATATTATTAAAAATAATTTTCAAATATAAAATGTTAACAGTTTATTATTAATTGTACAATATTATTACAATAGATAATACAATATTATTATACTGTACAGTAGATTATATTATTTGAAATAATTTATTTCGTAAATAAGCACTTCTTTGAATGAAGTTATTGAAAATATATTTGTTCATTTATAAATATATTAATTATCTTGTACATTTATACAAAAATTAATACAAAATTATTACATTAAATGTCTAAAAAATAAATATTAACTTAATGACAAAATGATTTTTATTTAAGTAAAAGTAAATGAGATCTCTTATGGAAACAAAAATAATTAGTAAATTCTTCAACAATAGTCTGTAGGAAACAATAAGTGTTAAAAAAGCAAAACAATAGACCGTTTTTGATGATTAACTCAGTGATTAATACAATTATTGTTAATATGAAAGCAAATAAACAAAAATACAGCAATGATTTCATACTTTCAATACTAACCCTTCGCTGCCATTCGTCGGTAATTTTGGTTTCCGACGAAAAAATACATTCTTTCACTGAAAATGATTTAATATTTGCCGTCTCTTTGCTTATGTCTCGCAGCCATTTGTCTCCCAAACCATTGGTCACTAAACTCTCAACACTTGTAACAAACAATTTAAGAGAAACAATATTACAGTAAAATGGTATAAGTGTTTTCATAAAATATTTAAAAGTATTCTTACATTTTATTTAATTGATTAACAATATATTTTGGGACAAATTTATTGATACCAAAAGAGTTAGAAATACGAAAATATGAGTTGCTTGACAGATGCCATCGAATATGAGGCAATTTACTACACAAACTGACCATGCTGTGAATATGTACATAATCCAACTCAAACATTGCTATCTTTCCCGCGTCTATACATTTTAGAAATCTATTTAAATTATGTGGCAATTGATCTTGGTCTCTACTTTTCATAGATATATCTCGATTACTATTAATTCGCTGCCAAATCTCATTATAAATTGGATTATTGCTCTCCTATTAATAAAAGTATTAATACATTAAGATTTAAAATTACAATTTAAACTTTTAATGCCTTGAAAATATTGATTATCTTTGAAGTTTCATATAAAACAGGTATTATTTGCCGGTCATTATAAATGTCTTCAATAGAGTCTATGTTATTGTGATTGAGTTTAACCACAGAATCGACATTAATAAGTGATTTGAGCCAAAAATACAATATTGTAACCATTAAACTAATTAAAGCCATATTTAATTCAATTCTATCATTTGTTTTGTGCATTATAGCTATTCAATATAATTTAAACAAATAAAATATATTAATACAGTTCACAAATCAATTTTAAAATAACTACCCTAAAATTCCGTGCATTACCCGCGGGTTATCCATAGGAAAAAGTTAAATTTTTAGAAAATATTTGCGTGCGGGTTATACATGGAGTGCGGGTTATCTATTACAAAATTATTACTTCTTAAAAATAATAATTTTATTTAATAAATTAATAAAATTACACTAAATATCACTTAAATCCGTTAAAATCAGAATCTATTTCAAATACAGATCTAATATTTATTAAAACATGACAAATTGATAATTAAAATGATATTAAATTAAAACTCATTATAAAAGCACATGTTTTTGCGTCAACACAAACAGGTTTTAAACTGCAAAATATTGAATTATATGTAAAAGGTGTATACGATACTTTGCCTCATTAATTAGTATTGCTTTACTGCAAGTTATATCATAAAACTACTATAATTTTAAAAGTTTAATTAATTTTGAAAGAAAACGAATTGTTGATTATCTAAATATAAAGTATACTCAAAATATTTTAGAAAAACAATCGGGTTTGTTAAATTTACATTACTGACATACTGTCTTTAATAGGTATAATATTAAAATGATATCATGTCTAAAACTTGATAGGAAAAATTATCGTATACAGCTTTTACATGCGTGTTATACATGGGTTGCGGGTTATCTATGGGTTGCTTTTTTATTTATAAATATCACAAATTTTTGAAGTGCGGGTTATACATGGGTGCGGGTAATGCACGGAATTTTAGGGTAGTTATAAATAAAAAAATATTTATTAACAAATACTGCATAATGTTGCAGCAAAAACATTGCATTTAATATACAATACATACGTTGGAGTAAGAATATTCTGACCACATTCCACAGGTTAACAGAATTGTATATTTTATTTAATAAATTATTAATGAGATTAATAGCCAAAAGAGCCAATAATGTACACAATATACACACAAAAATGCTTGAATCGATGTAATTAAAAAAGTTAAACAAATCATTTCTCGTTATTTGAAACCCGGATTTTGTGATTATTATCTGCGATGAAGAGTACAATGTCTTTAGAAAATTAATTTTCTCACTTCTATCCGATGTTTCAAACAATGTATTCAATGACATATCCGTTTCCTATGTTTTTGTTAATTTTGATTGAAAATATTTTTTAATTAATAAATAAACTTGGCACATTGTTTTATTCTTTCAGACAAATGCTTACATTAATAAATATACTATTTATTAATCCGGGCCAACCGGCATATTTTGGCACAATTATCTCGTAACTATTACAGGCAAAATAAAATGTTTATTTTATTATCAACTTATAACCTAATGTTAAAAGTTAACCTAAATATATTGATGAAATAATTTAAGCTATTCAATAATGTACAGTACGTTACCTGCAATTTAGTCTACGCTGAATAACAGCCAAGAATTCCGTTGATGTACCACTAATACTAACTTGCTTATTATATCGATGGATTTGAATCCACGGCCAGTACTAAACATTAACACATTTACACAATTATAGACAAATATCTTGTTCAAACCAAATAATAATAACTTACAGGAAAAGCTGCTATCTTTAAATGCATCTTCAATAAGTAACTAATAACAAATACTTTTAATTTTAATTATTAAACAATTATTGTTTTTATTAAATTTATTCAGACAGGACAATTTTTATTAAATAAAATAATAATAGATGTAATTGTACCACATCTATTGTACCAATATATTATAATGTAAAATGTATTTGTTGGCAGTTAATATAATATTCTGTATATTAGTATTATGATAAGTTATTCACAAATAACATTTATTTATTTAATCATTTATTTACCATTACTGTACTTGACATTATAAAATTAAATCAAACAACATATTAAGTTAAGCAAAATATATAGTGCACCTAGGGCACATTTATATTATTACACAATTAATTCATTATAAATACAATAACTTTTGTACACATAATATATTCTATAAATAAGTGTATTTGTATTTGTAATGTGAAAGGTTTGATTGCATGACATTTATAAATAACATAACTAAAAATGACATAATTTTTTATAAGAAAAATTACAGAATATTCCTAAGTTTATTATGTAATATTATACCATCATTAAAGAATATATTAATTTAAATGTTCATTTCAGATGCTTAGTATACGCAGAATATGATTTTCTTAAACTCCATGTATAATATACATTATAAAATATTCTTTATTACATTACAAATTAGTATCAACACTATTATTACCACAATATACTAAAGAGGTTTTATATAAAGAGACTTTATATCAGAGGTTTTAAAAACATTAATATTTTTATAACTATAATTTCATTAAATGTTTTTAGTTTATAAGCAAAAGACAGTGACAATAACGAATATCACAATCAATAATATTAATAATATTGTAATAAATTAATTAAATGAATAAATATTTACGTATAATGTCTAAAACAAATAACAATTAATATAGTGATAAATTATAGCAAAAAATAAAAAATAGTACAATAAACGGTTTTCCACTATAGTTTAACACAATTAATTAAATTAATAAATTAGTAAATATTTTCTCTAAAATAATGGCTATAATAGAGACAATGTATGAAACTAACAAAATTGGTACCAAATTTCTCACCCAATCTTCAACTGTTATTTGTTGGTCACTATTGTTAAGCACATCCGACACCGTTTGGTTCCGACGCCTAGACATCACAAACGGGCCTTTCATTTGACGACTCAGTTCTAGATTAGCCATAGCATGGATGGGAAGGCCGGCCACAGTCGCGTTGAATAACCTGCTCTCACATAACAATCAAATCATTAATTTATATAATTATTACAAAAATTGATTACATTTTGGTAATGCGTTGACCAAAGGGATGGCGACGGGACATACCAGTGACCAGAAAATTGACGGCATACCGGTTCCCTATAACAAGCGGCAGATGTTGGCACAGGGCCAGCAAATAATCGGTAACAAATGAGCTAATTAGCACTACTCGACGCCCAATGGCCACACTTTGACACAAATCCAGCTGAAAGTGATAGTCTTTGTTAAATGTCTTCAGCCATTCCACTCGTTTTCTCTTATTATTGTAGAGTTTTTCAAATATTTGTGGCATAAATTGACGAAACTTTTGCCGATCCCTCGTCTGTATGACCGCTTGGAAGCCTTGTTTGTCCAACACGTCTGCCATCGACTTAACCATAGGTCGAGCCTCTCGTCTGAAGTATGCGCTTAACATAGATTGCGAGAAACTACTGCTCAATACTGTAGCCATCAATAGCCATATTGTGGTCACTATTATCACTACATTTTTACATCTCTTTGTGTTTTTCAGTAATGTCTTCAATATCTTAAACTCATCGCTTGATTGCAATAATAATTGCGATAACATTTGTGATATAACTTCAACATAAGATTTTGTTGAATTTATTAATTGTTTGCAAACGCATGACAACACCATTAATGATATGAATATTCCTAACCATACCTTTAATTTATAATTTAATTTAAGAACAGTCGAAGATTTGTTAATTAATTTAATTAAACTTGCCCATTTATCAAACAGAATGGTAAAGTGTAACCATGTTTTCTCGGCAATCAATTTATTAGTGGTAAGCAAATCAATTTGGTATAATTGCGAAAACACCACATTATTATAATCGCTGGATTCGCTTAGGTATTGGAAATATGGTGGTAGAGTGAGCACATGTTCCTGTAATCAAAGTGTTTTACAACACTTTATTTAAAATGCGGACTCATTTTTTAATTACACTTACAAATATCTCTGTGACTTTCGTGGTTAACATTGGCTTTAAAATGATCTTAACATTTAATGTGCATAAAATGTATTTAAGTATTGGCAGCATAAATGTATTGTCCATAAGCTATATATTCATTTTAGAATAAAATAATTTTTAAATAAACTAGATTATATTTAAATAGTTATTTATGCGTTTGTTTTAATGAATATACCGCTCGGGGTAGAGATGACGGCATCCGCAATATTACGGTAAGATTGCCAGCAATTTCTTTACTCCCAATGTCTGGCATAATATCCATGCAATTATACCAGCGATTTAAATTAAAATATTTGACCTCGGTCAATCCGTAGATAAACTTGTCCACGTCCTCAAACTTTTCTATCATGGTTGTTGTAATACACAAATATTCAATTTGCCTAATGTTTTAATGACCAGACTATTACATTTTATACATTAAAATTAAATAAATCCTGTTGTAAATTAGATGCAATATGTTATATATAGCTATAGTTATAAATTATATGTGTTAAATTATAAATATTTAATATTGAAACCACTCAATCATAATTGAAATGTACTTGATCATACAGTATAGCGCAATTGTTGTGTAATTAAAATACATTAATTAATTATTAAGAACATTTGTCTGTTTTTTGTTGCACTCCAAGTGTTTATTAATTATTAATAAATAGCAACTTTATCCTTATTTTCGTTAGTAATAAAACTAATAAGTTATATTAAGAATTGCTAATAAATAATGCAATTTTCAATTCAAATGTTTATGAATTATTTAATACAATACTAACAAATAAATTTAGTTTAACTTTAATCAAAACTGAAATTAAATAAAATCAAATATTGCAATAATCTAAATAACTAAAAATTGGCAATGACATTAATGTAATACTTTACAGATTTAAATATTTCAATTAAAAATAATTATTTTACATCTAGGTAATATTTGAAAAATTAATTGAAATAAAAGTTGCAAATATTCCAAATTTAATAAGGATTAATATTAATTATAAAATCTGTATTTAAATTAGTATACATATTGTACAGATATGTTTTTATTAGTACTATATAATTAATCACATTGGTAATTTTAATTTGTGCATTGTATACCATAGATGCAATAATTGTAATAGGTAAAAAAGGTATTATGCCCGTATCACAAAAATTATGCAATAAATCATGAATGACAATATTATCACTACTTAGAGATGTGTTGTATTTATGAAATTAGTGTTTAAAACAGGTGTGTCTAACGAGAGATGTATTTCGCTGTTATAATTACAAGTGTTGTTACTCTTATGAAAAATTACATTTTGTCTGCCATTGCATTATAAATATATTAAATATTAGAAAAAAATAACCATTCGTTACATACCGTGTATTGAAAGCGCCGCTACATTAATAGTCGTTAACAACAGTGCGTTAAATGTAAAGTTTATATCAAAATTAATTTGAAAAAATTGTGTTCAATTTTGTGGTAAAAATTGTGGTTTCAGTTATGAGAAAAAGTTTTCTTTGTGTTTAACTCAATTGCAATACATAATACATAATCTTGAAATACATTAAACATATTGTATGTGATATAACAACTGTTTTGTGAATAATTTTGTTTTATAAATATATATTTAGTCACAAAATGGTGAAGAATGAAGAAAATGAATTAGTGGTGAAGAAAAAGGTGCCTGTTGTTCAATGGGATTATTATGTTTATACAATCATTTTAAGCATCATTCACTTAATTTTTGTAAGTTTTAAATACAACTTTATGTTATACTGTCTTTATTATAGTGTAATTTTCTTAAGTGATAATTTTATTTAAGTTGATTTAATAAGTAATTTATATAAACATTTTGCATTTATATTATATTTTAAATATTTGTAATTTATTTTTATTGTTTTTGATGATCATCTGTTTGGCTAAAGTTATAAATGACATTTATATAAATGCTGTACCTGTATATGAGTCACTAGTATTACCTAGAACATAATGTTCCCGGGCATATTATATAACTTATTATTCTATTTAATTTACATGTACTGTACATTAAAATAGATTCAAATTATTACAATTGTCTTTATACTCATATTTCATATCTTAGGGATTAAACAATTCGTGTTTTGGGCCCTCATTTGTGGACTTTAAATATGTTTTGGGAACAACATTAAGTTGGATCTCATTATTTCCGAGTTTGCTCTCTCTTGGTTATATGATTGGATCACTTTGTAAGTATACTTATATTAATAGTTTGATCTAATACAATTTATATGAGAAAGTTATTAATTATATGAAATTTTAGAATTTTGCCAAACATTTTATTGGAATGAAATTAAATTGTCTTTCTAAATTTAGACAAAATGTAACAATTTTCAACTCTACCCAAATACAGTAATAGTCTCTTAAATTTTTAAAAATTACTATAGTAATTATTTTATAAGAGATTCATTGTAAGTGTTAGAGTCTAGAAGTAAGTTATTGTAACTGTAACTGTTAGACAATAAAACTTGATATGTTATTTTCAATATAAATTATCAGTGAAAAAATGCGCTACATTTCTAAGAAAAACTATTGATATCCAGTAAACGCATGAAGTAATAAGAGTGATAGATAACATAATAACCAGATATTAATTATTTGACTATTAATTATTAATTGTTTTTATTAATATAATAATACTAGTAGGCATATAAAAAATCTTGCAAATACTTGCAAAATCTTGCATAACAAATGAAAATCATTATTTGCCACAAATCCCTATCTTTTCATCAGTAGTAAAAACATTGCAAAAAATTAGACATAATTAATTGTTTAGAAAAATAACAAATGTTAATTTAATCTTGACAATAAATTGAATTATATAATATTATTTGATTACCTAGTTGGCTACCTATACAAATACCTGAACCGGCAAATAACCTTGATAATCTTCATAAGCCTAATGGGCTTTTCGACTTCATTGTTGCCATTCTCACAAACTCTATCACAATTTTATACGTGTGTGTTTGGGTACGGCTTGGGCTCTGGCGTGTGGTTCAGCGCATATAACGTGTGGGTGATTGAGATATGGCAGCAAAACAGCGCACCCGTACTCCAACTCT